ATGGAAAGTGTTTTTATTTATTTTTTTAAGGTTTTTAACAAACCATGTAGTGGCGGTGTGAGAATATCTACTACCCCATATCGTGCCGAGGGTGTTGTAAGAGGTGTCAGAGGGAAAATTAAACAGGAGATGGGAAGCGGCATCTTCCTGATAACAACTCAAAATAATAATATATTATCGTTCCTATTATAGTACATATGTTACTAGAAATCTATGAAATCCGTTATTATATAGAATTCCTAGGAATTATAGATAATTCTTAAAATGAACGGGATGTGTGGAATATAGTATTATACACATTTCAGCTCAGAGCAGCCTGACTCGGATGGGTTAGGTCAGAAGGCTAAGGCAGGAGCTCCGCTACGCTGCTTTAGTCCTCGTGATATTTTTTTAAATAATTGTCCAGAAAAGATTTAGTCTGTCTGAACAATAAATCAGGTATATTTCCCAATTCCTTGATCACCCGGGGTTGTAATAAATTTTAATTTTATATTTCGTTGGTACCGTTTAGGAATTGTATACAATAACTAGAAAATAGATTATAGAAATGGTAGTTATAAAATATTCTCTGATATATTTATTTTCCACATTTTCTAAATAGGCTCGGCATTATATGGGTTGTAACGAAAATACGTGGTCATATTTTAATACCGGTTCCGCCCATGGAAATGAAAACCTTTCTTCATAAAACTAGTCAATTCCCAAAAAAATTGTACAAAAATATATAATCTATATAGGCTAGGTCTTAGTAGTAAACAGAGATATAGATAGTTATAAATAAAACACTTAATATAACTCAACTACTTATAGCGATATCCTGGGAAAAATAAAATAAAGGTTACCTACTTAGAAAGGAAGGGTCTGCCCACAGAGAGCGAGATAGTAATACCTAGGTTAAGCTTCAAGTAGGTATTCGGAGTGTGGTCTCCATCTTTATCTATACCTTCATGGGCATAGTTTAGTGTGGCACATCACTGTTGGAAGTGGGCGGTACCCATCCATGAAGTACAACAATATCTTTATGACAGTTTATCTTAAAAAAAAATACGAAACTTCATAGGCGTAAGCTGTCACTCGCAACACGCTATAACGCAAAGACTATAATTTGCATGATTTTGTGGGATACATTTTTAATAAAACTATTTTAGATGTACGCTAGGGATTGACTTTATTTTATTGATATAATTGTCGATAAATGCTCGATTTGCTTTGCTTTACTATATACACACAAAATAATAAGAAGCGCTAGCGCATCTATAGACCAGTAAATGTTCTAAGTCTATGGCATCAAAGGTCAGTCCATTACATGGAAATATATGTACTTCGTACAAACTGGAACCCGCACTCTCGAATGACATAAAAAATACAAGAAAACGACCTTGAAATTTTTCATTACCCCTCAGTCTCTTTCTAATTAGGGTGAACACAAAATACAAGAATTTGGGATATTATGGGAAAAAATCAGTTTATTATTATTATATTCACATATAAAATTTTATTTTTATTGAAAATAGTAGAGTTCCATTGAAACGCATGATATTGGAGAAAAATCCATAAGATCGAAGCTGCGGGCGGAAGATTATTAATTAATATTATTTATTCGTGTACTTTTTTGTCAATAAACGAATAAACGAGCGAACGGGCTAAACATAAAAACTTTAACCATGAACTCAGACCATCATCCTGAACAATATATATAATAATTTTTTCCCAAAAATGAAAAAAAATTCAAAATTTCACGTGACCAATTTTGTATCGGAAGTCAATTTTTAATATTAGGTTGACTCAGACTATTCATATTTGATGCCCTTTTAAATATTTTATCCGCAAAAAAGACAATTTTGTACACCTCTGCGGATGGAATAAGCAATTTACCTCTATTTACAAATGTTGTAGATATTGATATTTATTTACGTTCAAAACGTATAAATGATCGGTTTGTAAATGATCTGCAGCAATTAGCAAATTTTTACAATCGTTACATTTCAGCTGTTTGACAATATTTTTATTATATAACCGGTAATATAATAAAGAATAGTTTTCTGATAATACGCATGGGTGTTTTGTGATTCCAAAGCCTGCAAATGGTTTTCGATTTCATCATTAGTATCTGTATCATCAGTATTTGAGATCAGATTCGGATCGGAAAGCCCCACAATGCAATTAAAGCAGGCCAAAGACCGTCTTAAGATCTCAACGTTTGGCAAAGTTGCATATTGTATAATAAACTCGTACGCTTTTGAGGAGTAAAAATGTAATGTTAAAACGAAGGATTTCACTTCATCGCTATACCTCACACCTTGTGGTTTATTAGATTTTTTTAAATTCTTTATATATATTAGCAAAATTTCCTAAAATAATATTTTCTATGTCACTATTCTCTGCATATGATTTTACAATTTTTGGAACGAAGTTCTTTATACGGTACGGATTTGGACGCTAGACGACAAAAAGTGTAAGATTTTTCCGTAACGATCCTACTGACGTCGATTAGACGGTCTTCACGGCTATAAGGAAACGATATGGAATAATATCCATCTCCGTCGCACTTTTTCTTATCTGAAAGAAATTTTATTTTTAATGACGAGTCATTTTAATAGACGCTAGTAATTAATTTATTGGTATTTGTTAATCAATAATATAATACGTTAATCAATAATAATATACTACTGAAGGAATTTCGTTCCAACGGAGTGTTCCACGACAATCACGCATGTTTTATTTTATTAAAGATTTCAAATTAGTAACAGTTTTGGTGAGGCGAAATACTTTTTGAACTAAAGATTTGTTTCTTATCTTTAGCTCTTCATTTCGTGATAATTTAATCCTTGCTTGCACACTTATCAGCGCAAAAGATTTGAATGGGGGAAGTGCTTTTGTCCATGACCTAAAAGAGTAAAAAGCTCTTACAACGAACATTTTTATAATGGACTAGTTAGTTGTGAAAATGCTGTAGTCAGAACTAAAATCACTATTGAACTTTAAAAAAATGAAACACTGAAAAAATTTAGACATAATATGTAGTTAACAATTTAATGATCAACAAAGCATGCTGAAGAAGTTAAAATGTCATAACTATTTTGGATGTTATAATATCATCGATGTTCATATTTTCTTTTTCTGTTTCCAAAATGCTTCGAAATAAAAACAGTGGTTTTTTTTTTACAAACAGGAATATTTATACTTTCTTTTGTAGCATCACACAGCGGCCAAGATTCCTGAAAAGACACGAAAATCTGATTTTCCAACACTGAATAAAAATATGTTTATTACACATTAAGGTAGCAATTTAATAATAATTTATTTCAGGCAATATTTACATTACATGATGTTAATTAAAGTAAACAGAATCCCATGGATAAATACCTTATTGACTAGCATACATATTTATTATAAAATTAAAAAAAAAGTTAATGGCTAATTGTGTAAATTAAAAGAACACTGACGTGACTGCAAGATGGCACGTCTAACATAGTTTCCCAGGATAATTTAGAAGCTGCACTAGTTGCATATTCGTCATTTGAGTGCAAATATAATTAAGTATTAAATTAAACCTGTGACAGTATTTTCTGATCGTCACTTTAAAATATACATACTTTTATTAAAATATTCGATAGCACTTATATATGTGCAACAAAATTGTCAAAAAATGGATTTCCTGAGACCGCAATTTTGATTAAATGTGTAAATTTTCATTTAAAAAATTAAATACAATTAAATACTTAGCAAAATGTTGTACAAAAATAGCTTGTAATTATTTTTACAAATTATAGCCTAGTGATATAACATATTAAGCTGTTCCTATTTTCTAGGTAACAGAATGCATTTTTCTTTCTTTCTCAGAAAAATTTTTTTTTTCGATTTTTTTAATTTTGATGTTTCAGTGTATCGTCATTCGTGTAAACAACGTTTCGAAACTTCACGCAAATCAAGCAGAGATTCCGTTCGAGAAAACCTTTTCCGTTTGTAATTAAAATGAAAATACATTACAATGTATGGTCACACTAGTCGAAATTATAATACAAACATGAAACATTAATTATTAAGCAAATAGCGAAGTAAAATAGGAAATAACGAACAAAAATTAACATCTAAACCAAAATAACAATATTTCTGTATAGAAATAATAGCAATTAAAGTCACTAAAAATCACTAAAAATCAGTTTAACATGACGCGCAGTATTTGCATGGTATTTTGTACTTAAGAATGAAATATAATATTACATTCTGAATGCCACTCACTTTTGCAACCACGCACATTAAATTTAATGACCATTTTAATAATTTTGCCTTTGCATTATTCCAAAATTCAAAAATAAACTTGCGAAATGAACGTAAACATCCGCCATGTACAGTAAAAATTATTTGACAAATAGATTTTGGGTTGTCATATAACGGCTTTTAAGAATAAATCTAAAATAGGGGAAATATATAGGAAGCTAGGCAAATAGTTCATCGTAAATCTTTATTAAGTGTTTAAAAGAAAAAGCAAACACTTAAGTTAAAATCGTTTTTGTCAAGTTTTGTTATCATTTTTTACTTAAAATTCTTGCCATACTGAGAATTAAACTTATACTGAAATTCATGATGGCTGTCAATGGGGTAATATCAGTCGTCACGTTGGCTATCCTGTAGGGAAAACAGGGGTTACTCAAGGTCATTTGATTATTCCTAATGTTGATATTAGGAGTGTGGGTTCCAGTTTGTCTATACTTCCGTGGTCCATTATCAAATAAAAAAAGTTGGCCAGCCGGTACAACTATATTCAAACATAAAATTGAAAAGACTGTTTGGTCTAAGACCTTTGCCAGACTTAATTGGCGAAATGTAACAACAACACACACAACAACTCTTGTCAATGTCAAATGTCAATGTCAATTATGTCAAGCGTTTGTCATTACGTGGCTCAAGTCATCACAGAAAATAGTAAAGCGAGCTAAACAAGCTACCGATACTTAAATTATTGAATAGAATATTTTATTATATTCATAGAAAACATAATGGACTGCTTCTTTAGATCTTTATTAACATCTTTAGTTCTAGTTATTACATTATTGAATAAAGCAAATGGCTATACAATCACAGTCGACGCGCATGCAGAAGAGTGCTTTTACGAAAATGTTGAAGCCGATACAAAAATGAGTAAGTTTAACCAACCACGTATTATAAAAGTAAAAACATAATGGTATATTCATTTAACCTTTGCTTCTTATTCTACTCTTTAAAGAGAACATTCTACTGTGTAGGTACTTTCTGTTTGTTTTTATGGATAAAATAAATGAAAGTGAAACAAGTTGTAATTTGTAAGCCATTAAAAAAAAAGAGGAGGTTCTCAATTTGTTTGTTTTTTGTATGTTGAGACATAAATTCTTTGTTAATGAACTGATTTTAATATTTATTTTTATTAAATAGGTTATACTTTAGAGGTGGTCCCATATAAATTTTAGAAAAAAATTAATCCCTAAGGGTAAAATTTCCAAATAGGACATGTTGTTGTATTTAGTGTTATTCCTTAGCCACTAAAAGGTTAAAAAAATTAAACTTTTGATAAAGAATTAACTGCCTTTAAAATATTTCCACATCATAGGTTCCGAAGTCGGGTTCATTAGGGTAAAGGCCCTAATGCTTAACAGTGAACTAAAGGATGACACATTCGAAAAAAATCTCTTTTATTAAGAATAGTTTTCTTGATATAACTTTAGTACTGATGTTAAAAGACATCTAGTGCCATCTAAGACGTTTAGACAAAACCTTTCATTAGCTTATTTAAGTAGTATTCAAAATAGCATGTAAGTTAATAGAGGTTGACATTTCACATGTTTTATTATGTTTTAAGATTTATTGTACTTTAAGTTTTGGTTACGAATTCATTAGATATTATTTACATAGTAAGACCCCACAGATTTCGTTATTCATTTATATTTTGTAATTATTTAGTGTCTATTTATTAGTCGAAAATTTGTCAAAACCTAAAAGCAGACACATGTGTCATCTATTGGGGTAATATGAATCTGAATTTCTAAGTGTATGTATAAACGAGTAAAGACTATTTCCTATGAATAAGGGCCTGTCTAAATTTGACAACGTTTTCACTATCGTACCTAACTACAGGGTAATTTTTAATTTAATGAAGACCTTTTGGGAATATATTATTTACATCATAACAACAACATTGTAAGAAAATAAAATATATTTCTTTAATTTTTATTTTCATACAAAAATTAAAATATTTTAATTGGACCTTCGAAACGGTAATAGTTCTAGTATTAGCAAAGCGCGTAGGGGTGGAGGGGTCATTTGAACTTGACCTAATTACCTGTGTCGTCAGATCAGTTATCCCTGATGCGCCCGCGATGCTTGTCCTTCTGTTGTGAGAAATTAATATTACGAACGTCGAAAATTTGCATCTCAGAGATCATACTTTATAATTACCTATTATACATTTTAATATTTGTGATTTTTTTAATCTTATTTCATTATGTGTAATGATTTCAACACAATTTGTGATAGTGATATAAAAAAGGCATTTTCTTTGACAATTTATTCAAAAATTGTTTAGGTACTACAAAATATAGACTTACAAGGAATCAGACATGACAATAAAAACTTAAAAGTAGTTTTTTTGTAAAAAAAAATTCTGTAAAGAGTGATTTCGCTAAAATTGTTTGTAATGATGCAACCAATATATTGCCAAAAGGTCTTTAGTAAATTAAAAATGATATTAGGGTACAAGATGACAACTATTGGTGTCATTGCCAATTAGTTAAATGTCCTGTTGATTCTGTATTTTATATTTGAAAGATGTTTTGTTATTCTGAAGCTGATAAGGAAGCAGCTATAGAAGAATGCAGGCAAAGTGTTCCGACAGCTACTGCTGCCAAAAAATTTGGTGTACCGAGAGTAACTCTATTGTATAAAGTAAAGAGAAAATCAAATAAAATGTAAAATGGGAATAAACTGTTATATGACCAAAGAAATAGAAAAGATGTTGGTAACGTGGGCAAAAGCTACTGCACCATAATTTTCCAGGCCTGCTGTTCTTAAAAGGAGTTTCTAAATTTAAATCATTCTCTTTTTTCTTAACACTATCTTGCAAATTGTCTTTCCCTATCGGAAATCCTTCTTTCATCCTATGGTGCATAGATATTTGCAAGATAAGTGTTAAGAAATTAGTAGATGATTTAAATTTCGAAACCCCTTTTAAGAGCGATAGACCTGGAGAAAGATGGTACAGTAGATTTTTAAAATGTCAGCCTGATCTAATTCCAAGACAGCCCCAAAATTTGACTACTTCCAGAGCTAATGTGACAATATGTCAATTCAAGAACTGGTCCGAAGAGGTCAGCAGCTACTTAAATGGTAACAACAACTGGAATATGTTGTATGAACCTTGAGGAAGTTTTAATATGGATGAGACCGCTTTTTTCTTAAATACTAAAGGTAATAAAGTGTTAGCATCTAAAGGAGAAAAATGGTTTATCAGCAAATTAATGCGGATGAAAAAGAATGCTTTACTGTACTTCTAGGTGCAATGCTAGCAATGCTACCAGCGATGTTCTACCTCCTTTGGTCATTTTTAAATATGAGAGATACCAAGAAAGTTAAGTTTGTCTGTTCCTGAAACTGTTGAAGTTGATGGATTACACTCAATATGAAAATATTTTACTATTACCTCATTATATGAAAGCTTAAAAACTTTATGATGATTTGTTGTTTGATTTGATTAAATGCATGCTTTAGTAATTGAGTTTGATAAAAATGTCCATATCTAATATGTCTACTATTAGTGCTTACTGATGTCTGCTGTTTGCCGTGTAGTGGCGGTTAAGAATATCCACTACCCCATATCTTCCCGTGGGTGTCGTAAAAGGCGACAAAGGGAAACAGGCAGGAGATGGTTAGCAGCATCTTCCTGGCAACGGCAAAAATACAATAAAAAACTGCGGTTGCCAACCCGCTCGCCAAGCGTGGCAACTATGGCAATATACCCCCCATGATGAAAGTTACGAAGAGACGGCCCCCAGTCCCCGGCGGCCCCGCTATTCCTGGCTACGGTGGCGACCATGGTAACGGCGGGGCAGGGGGTGCTAAGAATCTCCGGTGGAGGTTCGGTTGCCACCTACGACGACTCGACCTGGCAACATACAACGCACGCACCCTGAGGACTGACGAGAAGATCGTGGAGCTGGAAGAAGAGATAGACAAGTTACGCTGGCATATTATAGGATTATCCGAAGTCCGAAGAGAGAGGTAGGACACGGTAATCCTCGAATCCGGCAACTTGCTCTATTACCGGGAGGGCGACCATCTGTCCCAAGGAGGTGTCGGATTTATCGTCCACAAGTCTCTCGTTAACAACGTTGTAAAGATTGACAGTGTGTCGACGAGGGTTGCGTACCTTATACTCAGAATCACCAAACGGTATTCGCTGAAGGTCATACAGGTTTACGCACCAACCTCGGCACACCCCGATCAGGAGGTGGAGGAAATGTATGAGGATATCTCTAGAGCCATGCATTCCTCCAAAACCCAATATACGGTGTTAATGGGAGACTTCAATGTAAAACTAGGCTCAAGAGAGAACGGTGAGCTGAAAGTGGGGAAATTTTGAATAGGGCAACGGAACCCAAGGGGCCAGCAGCTGGCCGAATTCATGGAAAAAGAGGGACTCTTTATGATGAACTCTTTCTTCCAGAAGCGGCCCCACAGGAAGTGGACCTGGTCGAGCCCCGACGGTTCGACAAAAAATGAGATTGACTTCATTATGACGACCAGACGACAACTGTTCAGTGATCGCGAGGGTGAAAACCGGCAGCGATCACCGAATGGTTAGAGGCACACTGAACCTAAACGTTAAGTTAGAGAGGTCTCGTCTAATATGGAAAACCGTACAATGGAAAACCGGTACTTGAAGTCCTTCAGAAGCTCTTTAATTCCGTCCTCCATGGTGGCATTACACCGGAGGCGTGGAGCAGAAGTGCGGTGGTCTTGTTCTTCAAGAAAGGCGACAACGCTCTCTTGAAGAACTACAGACCGATTTCCCTTCTGAGCCGCGTGTACGTGCTGTTTTCGAGAGTCATTACGAATCGTCTCGCGCGCAGACTTGACGACTTCCAGCCTCCCGAACAAGCCGGTTTCCGAAAAGGCTTTAGCACCATAGACCACATACATACCCTTCGGCAAATTGTACAGAAGTCCGAGGAGTACAATTTGCCACTATGTTTGGCGTATGTGGACTATGAGAAAGCCTTTGATTCCGTCGAAATTTGGGCGGTGCTGCAGTCCCTTCAGCGATGCCAAGTTGACTGTCGGTATATTGAAGTGTTGAAGTGCTTGTACAGTAGGGCTACGATGGCTATCCGAGTACAGAACCAGAGTACGAAACCTATCCAATTGCAGAGAGGTGTAAGACAGGATGACGTCATATCCCCGAAACTCTTTACCGCTGCATTGGAAGATGTTTTCAAGCTTCTGGACTGGAAAGGATACGGTTTCAACATCAATGGCGAGTACATCACTCACCTTCGATTTGCCGACGATATAGTCCTTATGGCAGAATCGCTGGAGGACCTAAGCACTATGCTCAATGACCTCAATAGTGTTTCCCAACGGATAGGTCTTAAGATGAACATAGACAAAACTACCGGCATAGGTGTGACATGGACATTAAAGATGATCTTTGTTTTGTCACAAAACAAAGATCATCTTTAATGTCCATGTCACACCTATGCCGGTAGTTGTTGGGAACACTAAGCTCGAAGTTGTTGACGAGTATATTTACCTGGGACAAATAGTCCGACTAGGTAAGTTCAACTTCGACCGAGAGGTCAATCGACGGATTCAACTCGGTTGGGCAGCGTTCGGGAAATTACGGCACATCTTCTCGTCAGGTATACCTCAAACCTTGAAAACAAGTCTGTACACCCAGTGCGTGTTGCCAGTGATGACATACGGAACTGAGACGTGGTCCTTCACTGCTGGCCGGATGAGGAAGCTCAAGGTCGCTCAGCGAGCTATGGAGAGGGCTATGCTCGGAGTTTCTCTGCGTGATAAACTCAGAAATGAGGATATCCGCAATAGAACCAGAGTGACCGACATATCCCAACGGATTAGTAAGCTGAAGTGGCAATGGGCCGGCCATATAGCTTCAAGAACCGACAACCGATGGGGAAGAAAGGTTCTCGAGTGGCAGCCTCGTACCGGCAGGCGAAGTGTAGGGCGTCCCCCCACTAGATGGAGTGACGACCTGGTAAGATATGCAGGAAGTCGATGGATGCAGGTGGCTCAGGACCGTGCTTTGTGGCATTCTTTGGGGGAGGCCTATGTTCAGCAGTGGACTTGTGAAGGGCTGTAATGATGATGATGATGATGAATGATGATGTCTGCTAATAGTGGTAAAAATGTCATTTTTTAGTTCCTATGCCAAAGTTTAAATAAAGAAATATTATAATATAAAGAAAGTCGATTAAGTTTTTATGATTAAAAGTAGTTTTCGTAATGTTACTGTACTCAGATAAAAATATGTAACTGTTCTAATTTTATAAATATATTTGATTATGAAGCATAAAATTTGTGTATTCCTTAAAGTGTCGAGCATTAGTGCCTTTACCTTAATTTTTCTATATTCTATATGACTTCAGACTTATGTTGAAATATTTTTTTCTTTTTAGCTTTAAAGTTTAATGTTTTATGTTTTATTAAGTGAAAAAAATTTATCTATAGAAATTTGTATTCAATTTAATTTATTTTGGTTATTATGCATATGTTATCATATTAAATCTCTTTTTGTTATTTTCATCTTAGGTGATAAAACAAAAGACTCAGAGGATAGATATTAGTCAAATTAATTTTCTTTTTATAGAATAAGGGTGACAAACGAGCACACAGTCCACCAGATGGTAAGTAAGGTGAGTGGCTCATAGACATCTATCTTCATTTGCGAATTAAAATGCAGATGTGTTGTGTTTTCCAGTAAAAAGGGTATTCGGTTCTCTACACTCACCATATGAAACACAGCAGCATTAAGCTGTTATTTTACGTTGGTATTCTGGAAGAGCATGGTCCTTTCCCGGTCGAGCCAACCCATTTGTGCTACAACTATACTATTCATATAGCTGCAGCATAGCTCTACCATGTATAAACTGTAATGGCTCTACCACATATAAATTGTAATTTATCACAAGTATTTGCAATATACTAATTGCATAAACTTGAAATAATAATATAACCTGTTCAATTCCTTCACAAAATTAAGCATAGTTCTTTGAGCGCCAATCCATCCACGGTGGGTGGATTTTCAATGTACGTAGCGCCACTGTCCCCCTGTGAGATGAAGTTAAAATTTTGACATTTCGACTTTTATCTAATTTTAACTCTATGGCCACTAGAGTAAGTTGCCCAACACTAAGAAAAGTAGAGCTAGCTAAATGGCATTGTTGTTTTTCCTTTTCATACATTTGCCTCAGTTTAAATTATTGCGAACACCTTTTGACACCAGCCTGCCTCTCAGTTTGGTAGTGACAAAGATGAAAAATTTCTCATCATAATTATGTTTTTTTTAACGTATTTGTTTATTTCTGGGCCTTCTTTGGTGTAAGCATAATGCGGCATGCATTATTTGTGTTAAATAAAACCTATTTTAAAACCTATGTCAACCAACATAATATTTATGTCACTAAAGTGATTGATGTTTTGCTCACCTTCAAGAAACACCTTTACAGTTTAGTTAATTCTTATAACAAATCACATAATAATTACACTTAAAGGCCTTGCTTGTAGTGTGTGGCCGTTGAAAGACCGTGGCACACGTGTGGTCACGTAGTCGCGACCTTGCCGCTCGAAGGGTTAAGTGAAATATTGGATAATATATAATTTCAATAGTAAACATGAACTTTACACAACTGGTAATATTTATTGCAGGTTTAACATTTGAAATAGCAGAAGGAGGTTTCTTAGATATAGACATCACAATCACTGGTCCTGATGGAACTGAAATACATAAGGGAGAGCGAGAGTCTTCCGGTATTTATACATTCTCTGCACCCACTTCAGGCCGATACACATATTGCTTTAGCAATAAAATGTCTACAATGACACCTAAGGTATATAATTTTACTTACTTATAATTTTATTGCAAAGTTTATTATTAAAAAATTTAAATACAACCACAATGCCCAACTGATTACATCATAATTTTAGATAACAATGTTATCAATTACACTGTCACAAGGCATAATTATAAACAAATGCAAAAAATATTGCACAGGTATATTTTGTAAAATTGCACATTATTAAATAAATCTATGTAAGATCTTTAGAAAGAAATAAAATAAAATAATGAATATAAAATAAAGAAAAATTTATTGCAGACACATCATACACATCATTAGGCACTTTAGATTAAAATTCATAAACATTTTTTTATAAGTTAAGGGTGACAAACGAGCAGACAGTCCACCTGATGGTAAGTGGTTGCTGCGGGCCATAGACATCTACATTTATCCTCTATTAAAAATCAAAATTCAGATGCGTTGTCACCCGTGAGGACTAAGATGGAATGCCTCATTTCCAGTAAAAAGGGTCTCCGGTTCTCTACACTCACCATACGAAACACAGCAGAGTTGAGCTGCTATTTTACGTTGGTATTCTGTGAGAGCATGGTCCTTCCCCGGTCGAGCCGACTCATTCGTTCTACAACTATACTACTAATATAGCTGTAGCATGGCTCTACCACGTTTTAAATCAATATATAACAATAAAAATTTAACAAATATAATAAATAACTAAAGTATATTTACAATTTACATTTATAATGAATTGTCACATGTGGTGCACTCGGCAAAAATACCTCAATTTGCTTATGCTGTAACCAAAACCATACCACAGGTCTTTAGGGTTTAGTAAAACCTTTGCTAGTTTGTAAATATCTAATTCTTTTTAATCATATTACTACAATATTTCATATAAACTTCTTAATTCAGGTTGTGATGTTCAACTTGGAAATTGGTGACTCGCCTAGCAAGACTCCTGGTGAAAAAGATGAGGTGGACCACAACAATCTGGAAAATATGATTAAAGAGCTTGGTGCCACTCTTAAGACTGTTAAAAATGAGCAAGAGTATATGCAGGTAGTTTTCCATGTTCTAGGCAATAGCAAAAGTACTATACTATAACCTGTATTATTATAATCACAGATCTTAAAATAGATACCACATATAGAAACATAATAATAGCAATTTTAAAATAAGAGTGTGGCTACATCTAAATATATCCTCGACTAAGAATCAAAATACAGACGGCTCCGTGGTGCAGTGGCTTAGCAATGAGTTGTTGCGCTGGGGGCCGCGGGTTCGAATCCCGCACGGAACAAGTATTTGTAGGCCATACAAATACTTGTTCCGTGCGGGATCTGTCTTGTCGTCCGGGTCTGGATGTTTGTTTGTCCTTGTGCAATTTGTGTTTGTAAATTGCCTCCTCGATACAGGAGAAAATCCTAGTGTGGGGGTAACGTTTTTTTTTAAAGAATATGAATATGAATATTGTCAACCCTGAGGACTAAATTGGAATGCCTCTTGTTTACAGTAAAACGAGTTCTCTACATTCACAATACGAAACACGGCAGTATTAAGCTGGTATTCTGTGAGAGCAAGGGCCTTCCACTGTCGAGCCAACCTATTCGTGCTACAACCATAATATAGCTGCAGTCTATACTCTCACTATACTCTACTACATAAAATTTAATTTGGTTGTGGCTAAGGTCACTGGGAAGCATTCTTGCAGCACTGATTGTTTACTTCAATGTTACTTCAGCTGATTTACCTAGGAGTGCAACATGTTGCACCGTTGGTGAAGCCTACGTTAGTTATTACTGATATGCTTTAATTTATTAACAGTTCAGTGCTAGACATAGTGGAAAAGATTTACTGTAATTACATCTGCCTGATGGATTAGCAGCTACTGTAGTAGCAGATATTTCACATTTTTTAAGCTGCTCAAACCAGAATATTTTATGTCTGGCTTAAATATGAAATTTTACCACCTGTAAAATAAATATAACACAAGATCTCCTGAGATTTTTAAGTTGCTTCTTACTAAAGAGAACCAATTTTTTATTTCGAGCCAACATTCCACTTGATGGTAACTTGCTACTGTGGCCTGTTGTCACCTGCAACAAACTTCTAACAATTAATGAATAACTTAAAAGCTGGAATACCGGCTCTCCTAGTCCTCAAACTAAAACAAACTGAAAGGTGGTTACAGAAACAGGAAAGAGTAATACAAAAAATTTAAAAACTCTAATTTAAAGGTTATTATGTGAAAAAAACAAAAATGTTAGAAGTATGGTTTTACTTTTCCCAAACCGACTTCAAATAAAGGAAGAGGTTCTCAATTCGACTATTTTTCTATGTGTGTTACCCGGAGCAAATACAAAGAGGAGACTGCCTAAGCAACTGTGCACTGTAATTCTATCTAGATCCTGACGTCATCACAGTGGGCGTGGCTTTAACGTTAGTATTATGCCAGCGTTCGTCCTGTGCGCTTGTGTCGAAAATCGCAAATCGGTGTATTTTCGTAGTATTAAGAAGAAAAGGATGAAGTGTTAATCATTAGAGATGAAGTTTTTTCTTCAAATTCATATGGGACCACCACTGAAGTATAACCTATTTAGTAAAAATTGTCATTAAAATTAGTTTACAATTAGGCAAAGAAGAATTTATTATTTGGGGAAGATAGTGCATAACATAAATTACAAAATTAAGTGCATTGCTGCTGAACTGAGACCGCTTTTTTTGAAGTTAAAAAGGAGCCTTATCACTGAAAAGTAAACTGAAAATAGGGTGCCCGCACCACTGCACATGTTGTGCTAAAAATATCTTCACATTTAAAATGTCACAACATGAATAAGAAACAATGACTAATTAATTTCCTAGATGTCTTCCTACACCAGGTTCTCAACAGTGTACATTAGCAACATAATGATGCTGTGATTCATGCAACATGAACTGTAATAAATACTGTAATACGATCAGGCAGTACGTTGCAGTGATTAATTATAGTAAGGTGTACGGTACCTTATTTGAAAAGCTCCTCGCTCCCATCCTTCCCACACATGATTGGGGACACTATCACTGCCACCACTGCACTAGAAAATAAACGCTGACTGTGGTAGCCAATGAGCCAGTTTTTCTTCCTGATGATTCCTCGTTTAAAGGAGAATAAAAATGTCATAATATTGACTGCCATGTGTACTCTAGAGTCAGACTTTAGACGAGAAGCAATATGAAAGGTGTAAAACATCTGGTAGCGATGGCAAATTCAAGCGCCTTCCAAGCTTGGGAATTATACCAAATTCTTCCAACTATAAGGGGCTATATCAAATTGTTGCTCAAATCAATAAGTTTAATTAGGCTGTTAAGGTTCAAGTATGAAAGTAAATTATGTAAAGAAAATGAATCTCTTATAAGTTAAAAACAAAATCAGAGAACCCATCTATTGCGCCAACTAAATTACTAAACTACTACTAAACGCCAAAAAAATTACTAAAGCAATAATTAACAATTTAAAAGTGTTTAATATAATTGTTTTTGTTTAAGGTTCGTGACCGCATCCATCGAGCCATTAATGAGAGCACAAACTCTAGGGTTGTGATGTGGTCTATTTTCGAGGCTTCCGTTCTACTAGTCATGACTCTTGGTCAAGTCTACTATCTCAAAAGATTCTTCGAAGTGCAACGTGTTGTATAACAGTTGTTGTGTTGTTTTAAATTAAGTTACATAAAAATTTAACAATAAAAAAATGAAAAGAAATAATTAGATTCATTTATATTATGAAGTCAAAGTTTGTTTCTGAAGTATTGTAGATTTTTGTGAAGATGATTATAATTATTTATTTTTCCACTTTCCGACTATTTTTTAAATAACACTATTTCAATCTATATTTTAAAAACATATAAACGAATGGTATTTTTTAACTGCGTTGACAAACACCTAATTTTAGTACTTACACATATATCTACTCTACCTCTTTGCACCAAAACAAAATCAAATAAAATGGCTAAAAATTATAATTTTATTGTTAAAAATTATCAAAGATTTAAAAAATACAAACAATTATTTACAAAATGGCGCTTTTCCATCAAAGTTTTTGGCGATGGTATTATTTATTACTAATTTACTAAGGCTGTAAAACACCTTTCTGTGAGGTAGGTATTCCCACAGAGTATCTTTTTATACCAAGGAGGTATTCCATCTTAGCCCTCAGAGGTTATATCTATAGCATTTGTTTGAAGTTGGTTGCAGTTGTCAATGGGCTGCAGGAGCTACTTACCATCAGCTGGACTGTAAATTCGTATAAATAAAACATACAATTCGCGGTTGACTTCTATGGTGCAAATCGGCTTCTAGTGCACATGCACGCATAGCTTCACACTACCGACTAAAACACTGTAGAATTTTTTTTTTAAATTAGTTAAGACATTTTCTAACTAACGAGAGTATAGTGTGATACTTACTATGAGGTGTCATTGAAGGAAGTGAAACCTTAACCTTATTTTGATATCACTAAAATCACTAAAATTGAATCTCACATAAAAATAATAGAGTTTTACCTACATCTAAAATATCAAGAATTTTTTTTATTAAACTGTCGTAAAATGCGTTCTTAGGGAGCGTCGACATTGCAAATGCGAATTGGTAACTATACTAAAGTTCAAGTCAATCGGGTGTATAGTTCTAGAGATCTCGTGATGAGTCAGGAAGTCAGTGGTATTTCGCTTATATATATATATATATATATAGATTATTAAAATTGGGTGCTGTTATTGAACCATCTACCTTGAATAGAACTACCCTATTTTATTCACTTGAGCGTCAGAGGGGAAACAAACCTGAAGATGGGCAGCACCGACTTTCTAATAACAACTAGAAAATGAAAACCTGCCTGACAAGCCTGGCCACTATGACAAGTACATATAACATTAAATATCTATTTTACCAAAATACCAGATATTTAAAGTTATATAATTAATATGTGCCATATGCATGCAAAAATTTTCTTATCGAAAGAAGTATCATAAGGTTTTTAAAATAATTGTGTGATTTCATAAAACTTGATTGCTTAGTTGTAAAGTATGAAAGTAGTTTGCAATGTACCTGCCTCGGTGTGTCATCCCCTTCCCTTTCCTCAACTTACCGAAACCTAACTGAAAATAACTTACAATATACGGGCAATAAAAATTATAACATATAACAAGCACGGTAGCATCTAAGTCTTAATATTTAATGTAATCTGCAAAGAGAGACCTAGTGAATGTTACAATTAGCATTTGAGCATTTTTTTACAAATTGCTCTGATGATTTTCAAACCCAGAACCCACAACGCGACGTAATAGTCAGTTATGACCATAAGGCAAAGTCCTAATATAGTTATAACTTTATTTATAACATGAAATTTATTCAATTTATTACCTAACAAAAATTATTAAAATTTTATTTAGATTAAAATTCATTAAAACAACCATAAACAGCGTAAAATATTTATTTAACAATATATGCACCATTTTCCTTTAACATACAATATTCAGATCTAGATATTTAAGTTTAACAAGAACGCAATCCATTGTGATACAAAGAGAGGACATAGCTGCATTTTATAGATATAAAACAGTTTCATAATTAAAATACTATCCATTCACATAATTACCATCAGTTTTAATATATTTATTATTGTAATGTAACAACCATAGATATGCATTTTATATTGTTTCAAGTATCGATTCTTTTTTAATACCTACGTAAGGTAAGAATACGTGCACGCCCTCTTGTGTTTATTATAGCAGCATTTATAAATATACTTAGATTTCATTGTTTTTTATACAATTTAACCCCTTTAAATTAACATCATAATGTCATTAGAACAACCGGTATTGTGATGTAAAAAGATACTCTTACTACAAAATGTCTGCTCCTAAAATAAGCACAATATTGACACAACGTGGCCGTAACCCGTAACATGCTTTAATTAGAATTCAAATAGTTAATACTTCAACACATTATATTAGTGACTTACGGTGCATTATAATTTAATTGTCTTTCCCTGAATTTCTAGGCCTAAATGTCGCTCTTAGGCCCCTGCCTCGAATCTTGCGGGCAGCGGCGGCGGCAGGATCTTGTCCGTAAAATCAAATGGACCGGCCGCCGAACACAGCGGCGCGGGCCGGCCAACGAGCGGTGCACTCCAGTCAAGCGGTGACCGCCCGCGCGTCTGCATTGCAGTGTTGTGCAATTCATTTTTGTGACGTGTCGAAATGTCCTCCGACGTGCAAGAGCAAATTTATTTTAGAATACTACTTTTTAATGAGTTCCATTTGTGGAAGCAATCCACAAATGGAAAAATTCACGCCAGTACAAAAGATTAGCGTGAGACAAAAAAATTAATCAAGCTCTTCTAGACGAGTGTAAATGAAGGCATGTAGGTACCCTTCTTATGAGAAATATAGTATTGAGTATTAATAAAAATACTGTCAAATAATAACAAATCTGTGATTGTAGAAATAACTAAACGTCGTACTTCGATATCGTAATTTCGATAAATCTCGCCTTTTTTTTCCTTGCCATATAATAGGGATTCACTTCTTCTTTTGCCCACAATAAATTTAGCATTATGAATAAATTTAAATCAAAAACATGTTGTCGCCGTTGTTCAGACATAATATGTAAAACAAATATCTCGACAACACAACCATGAACACATCACTACGCCGCTATAGTGTCGCGCGATCTGCCCGCTGGTTTCGAGAACGGGTCTGCGTTGCCCGGCCCGCTCCCGCGTCGCCGCCGCCGCCGCCCCGCTGCCCGCGAAATTAGAGGCAGAGGCCTTACAGATGTTAACGAAAATTATCAGCATTCATTTAGTTGATAATAAACTATTTCAATTCATTGGACTACCGAATATAAAGACTGTTTGGTTAATTTTTATATTTCAAATCTATTATTCGTCTATTAATTCTATTCTATTAGTCTATTAATTTATTTATTGAATACGGGTAACGACGAGCACACAAACCTGATGGTACGCGGACACAGAGGCCCATAAACACCTACATTTATCCTCAATTAAAAATTATAATATGGATGAGCTGTCACTCCCTAAACGATAGAAGATAAAATGCCTCAATACCAATAAAAACTTTCTCTGGTTCTCTACAGTCACTCTATGAAACACAGTAGCATTTATTTGCTATTTTACACTGGGATCTAAGAGAGCGTGATCCTGCCCCGGTAGAATCGACACAATTCTACTGCAATCATTATATAGCTGCAACTTTAAAATAAAAACTCACATATAGGACTTAATATATAAATACCGCTTACATAATTAATACGTGCTGTTTAACAAGCTTGGTAAAAAAATAATTGTACGTCATCAATTTTGGTATTTATAATATAAATGGAACCCTGGTTACTATCAAAGTCGAGAAGGTGGCCAATATTTAATGTTCCAAACGTCCAGTGATAATAGCTGGCAACACATGCCCAGCAGGGAGGCAATCTAGGTTGTCACTGGCAGGAGGTAGTTCTAAGAGAACGCTGGCCCCGCAAGCACTAAGCAATCGACTGCTGCACTGTTGAAAAACATTATAAATATAATAAACACATATATATGCGCTGTGTAGTGGCGACGTGAGTATATCCACTAACCCATAATAATCCCGTGGTTGTTGCAACAGGCGACGGGGGGAAACTGAAACAGTAAATGGGCAGTAGACCAAATCATAGCAACATACCCCCTATGAGGCAATCTACGGAGAATGCCCATGTTCAACAGAAGACATTTGATAGGCTTTGATTTTGATTGGACTTTAATTAATGACTTCCTAACCCAAAAGTTATTTTAAATAAAATTTCAATGTAATCATCTAATAAATCAATTACTGAAACTACTATTTTACACAATAAATCAAAAAAAATGTTATAAAGCAAAATGATTTGGGAAGCTTTTTTGCTTCCTGGAGGTAAACTCACAAAAGTTTCATATATTTTTAAATTTAAAATATGCCCAATTATGGGTTAGTACATGTATATTTTATACTAGTATTTACCCCGCGATTTCGTTCGCGAAGAACACTTACAGATCTAAAAAAAAACCACTACTACACAAACCACATTAAGGATTTTGCTATTATCTCGAAAACTACGTGCGATATGGGAAACTGGTTCAACTAGAAATTGGATATTTATTCATTTAACGTAAAAAAGGTCTTATCACCTTATCCTTTACAACAAAATTATAAGTGTAGTGTAGTTGTAAAATTCGTATGAAAAAAGTTAAAAATCGATTCTGCGACTATTAGATTTTTAATGTAAAATAATAAACCAAATATTTTTGTTTGCTTTTTTTTACATATCAGGGTTTAAGAGATAATCAGCAGAAACCATTTATTTTATCAAGTTTCGATTTCACATAAATAAATGTCTCATGTTTTTCAGATATAATATAGCCTAAATTACTCCTAGATTTGCTCTCTATCTATTTTTGAATTTTTATCACAACCGATTCAGCTATTCCGGACTGACTAATTTTGAGTTTTTATTGAAGTATGGCCTCTCAAAAAGCCAAAAGTAGCCGTATAGTATACGGGTGCCTAAATAACAATAGGAATCTCGACTTTTCATTCGTTACTGTTCCTAAGGATACTAAAAGGTAGTATATTATTATTTATAGGTAGATCTAGATAATTAGGTACTTAGTTACCGACGCCATAGTTACAGATTTATTACTTGATTAGTGACCAGACCACAGCTTCGCAGTTTTCGATTTTTTCGGGTATAATGCCATTGGCCTTAAAAATAAGTTCAATGTAAGTAAGTAGGACCTCCCAGTATTAGTGACTATATATATAAATACTGGTTTTATTTTAATACTTACTACGGTCGATAAAAGAAAGAGATTGAAAGTAGCAGAACTTCTCATTGCCACTCTTTCATTAATAATGAAGTCGCGTGTCGCATGTTTGTAAATAGCAAAAAATGTGAAACAGACAAATAACGGCTACGGGCCGCCGGTTCGAATGCCTGACGGAACAAGTAGTTGTATGGCCTACAAATAATTGTTTAGGATAAGTTCTATGTATGTAAACTGTCCCTGCGATACAGGAAAAAACCCTAGTGTGGAGGTACGTTTTTTAAAATGAAAGGAAGAGAGACAACTAATGAAATTAAAAGTTTTGTACAACCGACTTTAATACTAATACGCATTTTAAGGATAACTCCAGAACTACTTTTCAGACCCTGATCAAATTTATATGGGATGTATAAATTATAAGCACCAGCTTCCAAATAAAAATAGAATCATCAAAATCGATTCACCTAGAAAAAAGTTCTGAGGTAACAAAAAAAGCAGTCGAATTGACTACCTCCTCCTTTTTTTGAAGTCGGCTAAAAATGGGAAGTAGGTAAATTATCTGAGTTTCAAAGACGTTCACGTTGTTATAATCTTAATTTTCCTCGATGTTGCATAATAACCTTCCGCACATTGAACAGTTTTTATTATCAGCAAATTGATGGCTCCGTGGCGCAGTGGACGGAACAAGTATTTGCATGGCTTACAAATAATTGTTCCGGGTCTAGATGTTTGTCCTTGTGCAATTTATGTTTGTTAACTGCCTCCACGATACATGAGAAAATTCTAGTGTGAGGGTAACGTTTTTTTAACAAAATAAAAGAAATACTAATACATTGCATAACACCTCGGTGTATTCTACTATATAATAGCTAACATCAAAGGATTCAACTTGTTTTCTCAAAACACCTAACCCTACAGTAAAAGCGGCCTTAACAAAGGCGCGTAACGGGCTAAGTGGTACAGACACACGCACGCGGACGTAAGGTGCATTTTGATTTACTACGCGCGGCCCATAATTATTTTCGCCGAAATAACCGGTAGGCTAATTTCACGAAGGTCACTTTTAAGGCGTGCAAAGTATTATGAACATTAGCGACGTTGTAACTAAGTTTATACACGCAAGTTTGCTATCAGAGAGTGATCATTTTGTTCTTTTAACTATTATTTATTCTGTGCCAGAACGAAAATATAATAATAGTGTGTATGATCCGGCTGAAATCTAAATCCAGGTCCAGCGGCGTACTAGATGGGTATACTCTGACAACTAAAAAAACTTTAGTTATTTTAAGGTAAAAAGTTGAAGCGCCATTCTTTATTACACTGCTTACAATAAATATGTCGTTCTACGCTGTTCGTACACTTTTGCAATAAAAATCAAATAAAATTGGAAGAAAAGACGACCAACCCTTTTTTACAGTTTTTTTGCAGAACTGGTGTAGGTGGCCAGTGTTTAGTGAGAATATATGATCCGAGAGTGTCTGTTTGTAATGTCAAAATAACAGCTTTTAACTAAGTGTATGTGAAAGTATTATATATATACGATTCTTACAAAAAAACAATTTAATAATTTTTGTCTGTCTGTTTGTTCCGGCTAATCTTCGAAATGGCTGAACCGATTTTGACAGGACTTTTACTGGCAGATAGTTGATATCATAAGGTAGTAACTTAGGCTACTTTTATTTTAGAAAAACAAAGGTTACGCACGAAAAAATTAAAACCCACGAAATCCAACCGTAATAAATTCCACGCGGATGAAGTCGCGGGGAACAGCGAGTAGTATTTTTAAATAGGATAAGGATGATAAACGAGCACACAGTCCACCTGATGGTAAGTGGTTGCTGTGGCCCATAGACACCTACATCTATCCTCCATTACGAATCAAAATGCAGATGCGTTGTCATCCGTGAGGGCTAAGATGGAATGTTTCGTTTCCAGTAAAAAGGGTCTCTCCGGTTCTGTAACGAAACACAGCAGCGTTAAGCTGCTATTATACGTTGGTATACTGTGAGAGCGTGGTCCTTCCCCGGTCGAGCCGACCCATTCGTGCTACAACTATACTACTAATATAGCTGCAGCATGGCTCTACCACGTTAAAAAAATGGATGAAACTATAATTTTACTTTATCTTTTAGCGTTTATTTGAATCCATTACCGTCGTATGTAATATTTAGTGCAGTGGGTGCCGTAAAGCGATGATGGGAAGTGCCAGGAAAATCTTATGGCTTGCGACAGATGGCGGTATAACCATCTGTCTACGCCTGCCGTAAAATACCCAGACCGACGACAGAATACAGTGTACAAGTCGCGGCACGTAAGTCTAGCGCTGAACGAAATGTGGAGGGGACGCGCACGCGTTGAATTGCACGAATGCGACTGGAGTGTCAATCAATGCGTGCGAACGATACGCACGAGCCAATCAGCGCGACTCATGCACAATAACGGTCACCGCTAGACTTTCGTGCCGGTACTTATAACGTAAAGCGATCGTCAATCCGTGACAATTAATCCAAATCCTTCCTATGACGGAAGAGGCCCATGTCTAGCAGGAGAATTTAACGAACTGATAAAGAAGATCGAGATATTTAATCAATTGCTATGTAAAATAATAAACGGAAACAATAAGATCATTTGCAATAATGGTTTAGTTAGACAATTATCCCGCCCTATTCCATTTCCGGGCAAAGATGCAATAATGCTAGTATGGGATTTGTTTTTGTTTGCCGATATTGCGTTACGTGCAAAAAACAAAAATAATGGAAAATTTTGTTCAGTATACTTAAGATTTGTTTTAGGTTCAGTGGTGCTATGACATCTCTAAATATACCTGGTTACCAAGAACTTCAGCATGAGGTAGGTCGTCTTCAGTAAATCTCAGCACTGCTCTCACATACTCCGGTCGCGGGTCCAATGGGAAGGAATTGTTAAGACGCACGCGCATGCGCGGGAAATCGCTTCTACGACCTTCACAAATACGCAGCGCTCGTATCACAAATAGCAGGCAACACACATACGCCGACACTGGGTTGCCTGTGGAATAGAACGATATATAAATAGAATTTAACAATACATTACATGACATAGAAATAAACATATTGATAAGTAAATAGATTCAGGCGTTACTTTGCGGTAATTCATTACATTAATGATGTTAGAAATAATTAGCTAATACGATCCTCGTAAATAGTGGCGCTCTTTAAACAAGACACATCATTGTATTTTTAAAAACAGGTTCACCATGATCATGTGTAACGAGTGGCGGCGGTGCCGGCATAAATGAACCCATTACTCCATTTCAACGCGTAAATTTTAAAAAAGGTAGACCCCAGGAGCATCTAATCGATTGCGGTTTACTTACTATCCGTATATGATATGTTAATTACCCGGGGATGTTGAGGGGGGGGGGGGGGGCAATGTAAAAGGTGCGAGACACCCTGTACTAAAGAGTATTTAATCACTACCTTGTACTGCAGTCTCTAATCCGCCAACCAAACCGTAGGAGTGGTCTATGTGTAACAGTGAGCTGATAAAGAAAAAAACAAGAGTCGATCGATTGAACGCGTATGTCAGCCGTGCACTTCCAACGCGAAGCATTAACATAATGTTTTTGATTTATATTACATTAAAACGTCACATATTGTTCTATAGCTGGATTCCAACAAAATTTCTCAGCCCTTTCAAGAAACAGCGAGATAATAGGTGTTCTCTTTTAAATAATTTTGCACATAAATCCTATATTCACATATTTTTTTATTGGAAAAGGGGCAAACGAGCATGCGGCTCGCCTGATGGTAAGTGACTACCGCCGCCTATGAACAACTGCAACACCTGGTATTGCAGATGCATTGCCGACCTTTTAAAAAGGAGAGCCTACTCCCTTTTCTTGAAGGTCGCTAAGTCGTATCGGTCCGGAAAATCGCTGGTGGTAATCGATTCCACAAGGAAGTTGTGCGAGGAAGAAAACTACTTCTAAATCTCAAAGTGATGGACCGCAATCATCCAGATGACATTGACGAGAAAGAAACTACTGGTAAATCGCACAATGGAGGACCGCTAATCATCCAGATGGTATCGCGAGTTTTGTCGCGATGTGCGATGGCGGAAATGAGCGGCTGGAATTAGTCCGAACAATGCCTCAGAACACTCCCCGTGGTGGATGCGATAAAATAAATAAATAAAATCCTATATTCACCGCTCATACACACATTTAGGGTTTAACTTTGGCGTATAATATTACGTTACTGTTAAAACACACTTACCGGGCAAAGCAAATATGTACTTCGTCCTTCCTTGAAACTGGCAACTAGCAAATGTGCTCGGCTTGCCGGGCTTCATGCACACTCGTCCGAAATGAAGTGTCGCCCCAAAGTCCTGACAGCGAAATGAATATACCGTATGTGTTCAATACAATATCTATACATAGTTTTATATGAGCTTGTAGAAATCTGAATTAACATAGAACATAGAACTTGACATCTTTAGCCTATGTCAGCAGTGGACTTGTGAAGGGCTATGATGATGATGATGATGATGATCATGATCATGATCAAACTTTATCTCTTATTATGTTAGGCAGGAATTAAACCATAAACTTACGGATGCAAGGTATTAATATCACCGCATGGCGGGGGCCTGGCGGGTACGCGAGCGGCAGATTTTGGAAAAGAAAGTCAGCTTATCCTTTACTTTTTAAATTTAGAATAAAAGACATTAAAAATATAAAAAAATATTCACACACTTGCCAAGTGTAAGAATAAGTATAAAAAAATACATTCTACTGTATTATTTTATTTTCAACTTGAGAAGATGTGGGAGGGGGCAGTGAGGGATGTCATTTTGACGGCGACAACTTTACGACAACTACGGTCGAAAGCTGTTAACTGCACAGATTTATAGTGTTACAATTAAACGTGCTAACGCAGTGCCATTTACTTTTAACCTACCCGTAACCGTTAGCGATACAATATATCAAAGTACACAACTGAAACTATGCCTCCCCTATAGTTGGTTGTCATGAAGATGCTGCTGCCCACCTCCTGGTTTGTTTTCCTCTGACGCCTCCTACGACACCCACGGGACGATATGAGGTAGTGGATATTCTTAAACCGCCACTACACGGTACCCTAGCCCCTATGTAACACTTTTGCGATAAGATCGAATATAGACTAGGATAAAATATCAGACAGACTTTAACTGGAGTTTCAATCCGACATAGTAGTCAGGATTCTGGCCACTAAGCACTGCGGTCGCATAATTAAGATAATTTTTAAAAAGTACCTGAAGCAGTACGGGCTTAAGAAGGTCCTTCTCGCCCATTGACACGCCCCCCGTGCAGACGACCACATCCGCGCGTTTGAACGCGTCGGACAGGCTCGTCGCCAACTCGCTCGCCTCGTCCCGAGCAACGCCCATACACACGCTGGGATAGCCGTTCTCTCTGTAGTAAACGTGAGCACAGGAAATTTATTACAGATATGCCTTTCGTTCATAATTGTTCGCGCCCAAGTGTCACCAACTTTCTTCCACTTACTTGACCCACACAAAAACAAAAATACATTACATATAGAACATATACGCCTAAGTTCTCACTCACACCGTAAAAGGAGCAGCACCAGCCTAACGCCATCACCTCCTTGTTCTCAAAAATAATGAAGTCCATTATTAACTGCCAGCTCATGCGGTACCTTGAGGAGCACCAGCTGATTAGTGACTGTCAGTACGGTTTCCGTCGAGGTCGCTCAGGTGATTTGAGGTGATCTTCTTCTTTAGCTAACATGCGCCCATCTGCAGGTGATCGACTCCAAGGGGGAGGCATTGGCCGTTAGTTTGGACGAAGGCCTTCGATCGGGTCTGGTATAAAGCGCTTCTTTCGAAGCTTCCTTCCTATGAAATACCCGAGAAATTGTGCAATTGGATCACCAGTTTTCTGGCTGATCGGAGCATCAACGTCGTTGTAGACGGTGCGTGCTCCGATTACAAACCTATGAACGCTGGTGTTCCACAAGGCTGCGTGCTCTTACCAACGCTGTTTCTTTTGTATATCAATGATATGTTGCAAACCAGTAACATACATTGCTATGCAGATGACAACACTGGTGTACTCTATGCACCGGCCGTGCCAGTATTTCTCGGGAAAACGTCGCCGAGTACCGGAACAAACTTGTGTCTGAAGTTGAGACTTTGCTAAACAAAGTCTCGGACTGGGGGCGACTAAGTCTAGTCCAGTTAAATCCCCAGAAGACACAAGTTTGCGCGTTTACCGCTAAAAGGAACCCCTTTGTCGTATCTCCTCAGTTTCAAGGCACTCGCCTTGTTGCCTTGTTACCTCAGCCAGCATCGGAATACTCAGCGTCGACATATCAAGTGATGTGCAGTTTCGTGGTCACTTGAAAGAGAAGGCCAAATTGGGCTCTAAAAAGCTTGGTGTGCTCAGCAGAGCGGGACAGTATTTCATGCCGGCACACCGCCTGCAACTTTAGAAGGCGCAGGATCGACCTCACATGGAATACTGTTCCCATCTCTGAGCAGGGGCTTCCCAGTGCCAACTCCTTCCACTTGAACGCATCCAGCGCAGAGCGGTTTGAATCGTCGACGACCGAGTTCTTTCCGATCGGCTAGACCCACTGGCACTGTGTAGAGATGTTGCATCTCTTTGCGTATTTTATCGCATGTACCACGGAGAGTGCTCTGAGGAATTGTTCGGACTAATTCCAGCCGCTCAATTTCACCATCGCACATCGCGACAAAACTCGCCAATATATTCATACCATCTGGATGATTGGCGGTCCACCACTGTGCGATTTAGAAGATGTTTTCTTCCTCGCACAACTTCCTTGTGGAATTGTCCTTGTGGATTACAACCAGCGATTTTTCCAGACCAATATACCCTACTCCTTCTTAAAAGGCCGGCAACGCATCTGCTGTTGCAGTTGTTCATGGGCGGCGTGTCGCTTACCATCAGGTTTGCCCCCTCTCCTATAAAAAAAACCACAGCACAGCCTAAGAAGAACATACAGTCAGTTATCGCGTTTGATGTTGTCGGAAAAGCCGACATAAACAATAAATTCCTATGGTTAACAGAACGGTAAGTAATAAAAAAAATAAAAAGTTGATTTTATTTTGTGGAAACTGATGAAACTAATTCCTTATCTTTAAATGAGAACGACCCACAGTTTTTTGCCGCACATGTAGTGTGAATCATGTTAATTTATTTGCGTGACAGGACAATTTTAGCGGACAGTTCCCGAGCGGCTAAGGGCCGTTCGGGAAGTGTTCAACTTGAACCCGCGTCTCGCGTCTCGCCCCGCACCGCATCGCACGATTGCCCCATCTAGACACCTTGGATGACCGACAATTGGTGGTAGTTAGACTCTGACCATGGTATATATTTGTTTATACACACGCAGAAAATGTGCGGTGTTTTATATACATACGGTACATAATAAAGGTATAATTACTTAAAAACGAAAGGATTCTTATTTATTATAGCCGGGGCGGGACGCTAGGTGTTTGACATCTTTACTTTCATAAAAGAAATCAACTTTTAAGGAAGTCTGTGTCTATAAACGGGAACACCCAATTACATCAGACTTGATAATCCTCTACTCCACTACCCGTGGATCGTCCTGTGGGTAACGTAAGAGACATAACATATATACATAATACATAAACACTCACGCCTGTCACCCAGAGGGGTAGGCAGAGACTACGGACTTCCATTTGGCGCGATCCTGACACACCTCTCTCGCCTCTTTCACATCCATATATCTACGCATACACGCTCGTCGGTTAAGGGTACTCCTAATCTGGCCCATTTTCAATGTATCGCCGATCTGGTCGATAAACCTTCGTCTAGGGCGTCCCTTCCCGACCCTGCCGTTCACTTCTGCAACATAAATTTGCTTTGTCACTCTTTCCTCGTTCATTCTTTCTACGTGACCAAACCACCGACGCATTCCTTTCTTAATCCTTGTCACAACGTCATCTTGCAAACCACACTTTTCTCTTATTACACTATTTCTCACCCTGTCATTCAGATTCAGCCCTAGCATACTCCTTAAGGAACGCATTTCTACAGCATTTATTCTACTCTCATGCTTCTTCTGCCAGACCCAACTTTCACTACCATACATTAAAGTCGGTACTAACACAGCATTATGAATTGCCATACGTGCCTTAGTTGACACATTCTGACTCCTCACAATAGCGTGTAGAGCCCCATTCACTCTATTTCCTGCGTTCACTCGTCGTTCTATATCCTTATCATATCTACCATCCCTGCTAAATAAACATCCCAAATATACAAACTCATCCACTTGCTCAATCAACTCCCCTTCTATTCTTATTTTACATAAAGTTTTACTTTCTTCTCTTTCAAAAACCATCACTTTCGTCTTACTTGCGTTCACTTTCATACCCCTTTCTTTCAATGAACAATTCATTAAAGTAACCATCATTTGCAACTCGGCCGCCGACGATGCAAATATGACTTGATCATCGGCGTACAAAAGGCATTTGACGGTTGACTCACCCATTCTCAACCCACATTCTTCAACTTTCAAAGTTTGCAAACAACTGTCCATAAATAGGTTAAACAGCCACGGGGAAGCCACACATCCCTGTCTGACACCTTTATGAATGCCAAACCAGTCCGAGTAGACCCCGTTGATCCTGACACAAGCACTAGAGTCCCTATAAAGAGACCTTAATGCCTGTATCAAGCCAGCGCTCAACCCAAATGAGTTCAGTGTTTGCCATAACACGTTCCTGTCCACTCTGTCATAAGCCTTTTCCAAGTCTAAGAACGCACAAAAAACTTTCTGGTTTTTAGCCAAAAACTTCTCCGCTATCATGCGCATGGAAAAGACTTGATCCGTACACCCCATCCCCTTTCTAAATCCAGCTTGCACATCCCAAATTTTTCCTTCAGTTTCTTCCATAACTCTTTCAATTAACACCTTAGCATACAGTTTACCCACAATGCTAAGCAAGCTGATACCACGGTAGTTTTTACAGTCCTGCTGCGAACCCTTTCCCTTCTATATTGGGACTATAACGGCTTTGCACCAGTCTTCCGGTACCCGTTTCAGTTCCCAACATAAATTAAACAAGGTGTGCAGCAGGCCTGCAACCACACCCTCACCAGCCCTTAGCATTTCGAGTGATACTCTATCATATCCGGCTGCCTTACCTGCTTTCATGCTTTTCATTGCTTTCATTATTTCATCTACACTTATCTCCCTACCATTCTCCACTTCTTCCGGAATTTCTATTTCACTTATTTCAGACGACTCTTCACTCTTAAACACGCTTTCAAAGTATTCCTTCCATCTCTTTAAATTCGAAACTTCATCATTCAGCATGCAGCCATTCTCGTCTCGTATTGCATTCATTCTAGGCTGTTTTGAATTTCCCCTGGCAGTTCTTACGAGCTTCCAGAACATTTTAATATTTTCCTGGAAGTTATCAGATATCCTTCTATCATTTTTATCTATCCTTTCTTGCTTTTTCCTTTCAACAACTTCTTTTACTCTCTTATTTATACGTCTAAAGTTTGCCTTTTTTCTTTCAATCTCATCATTCATACCGCCAGAATTACCAGCTTTAGTTGCTAGTAAATCTAGCCATGCTCTCTTCTTTGCTTCAACTTCCATCCGTACCTCATCATCCCACCACAACGTATTACTTTTCCTTTCATTCGTTCTCTTACTTACACCGCATACTTCGGTGGCTGCATCCACCAAAACTTTCTTAATATTATTCCATACATTCTTCAATTCTAAATCATTCATACATAATTCATTCAACCCACTTATATTTTCCCTCAGTCTGCATTTATACTTCTCTTTCACACCTTCATCTTGTAACCTCTCTATTCTTATACGCTGTAACGCAGTGGTAGACACCGATGTCCGATGCCGCCAACGTCTGAATAGACCATTAATTCGGCATAAGACCAAGTAATGATCCGTCCCTACGTTGGACCCCCGGTAAACCCTTGTATCTACCACTGCGCTCCTCATTCTTTCATCCACAATTATAAAATCTATCATGCTTCTATCATCCCCTCTTTCCCATGTATACATGTGAATCCTCTTATGGCGAAAGAAAGTGTTCGCCACAAAAAGATTCTTTTCCACACATACGGTGAGGAGGTCTTCACCATTCTCATTTATTCTTACATCGCCAAACGTTCCTAATATACTTTCATAACCAGACCTCTTCACTCCCACCCTTCCATTAAAATCTCCTAACATAATAATATTTTCATTTTCCTTACATTTCATCAACACCAGCCTTACCATGTCCCAAAACTGCTCTCGGATATAAGTGGGCTTAGACATATCTGGGGCGTACACCCCTAGCACAAACAACTTCTTTAAGCCCACTTTCATTCGTATCCACAGCAGCCTTGGGCTAACACATTCATACTCTTTCACACATTGACCCATTCTTTCTGAAAGGATGACACCGACTCCCTGGCATGCCCGCTCGGTCTCGTCTACTCCAGACCAGTAAGCGGTATACATGCCATGTGCAGTGACATCTCTTCCCTTTCGTTTCGTCTCGTTTACACATAACACATCTATTCCTCTATCATTCATCATTTCGCATACTTCATCCATCTTATCATTCATTGCTCCACATACATTCAGCGTAGCCAGACGGGCCTCCGCAATCCACTTTTCGCCCCTCCGGGAGACAGGACGTGACGGGTGGCGAACCTCGTCGCCGGTTTTTCTCCCGGAGATTCTTCGCACCCCTGCCCCATTAAAGGGGCGCCGGGAACTCGGGGCCATTTCTTTTTCTACTAGGCTCATGGTGCGAACTAAGGGGGTGGTAGATTTTACGCCGCTACCATACGGCGAGGAGCCGAGTCTGTCGTTTCGGCTTTGTCGCTCGTTTAGCACCACCCGGGGGACACGTGTAGGGTGGGCCTAGGATTAGGTGGTCGAAGCCTACGGACGCGAGCGACTCATACGTAAGAGACGACAGAGAGAAATGAAAGAAGAGATGAGAGCAGAGTATTCTTGACAACATCTCGATGATAAAAAACTGCGGCCACCTGCCAGCTATGGCAACCATAGCATATAGGAGGGATCCCTATGAGGCAATCTATGGGGGAGGCCTATATGTATATGTTCAACACTGGACTTTGATAGGTTTACCACCTATAAATAAATGTATAAATAATGACCTCAAATAGATTTATTAGCTTAATTAAATTAAAAAAGGTGTTGAAATTACGTGACATGAATTATTTTACCGCCACTTTGTAAGCTTGCGCTAACCCATTCTTTAATCTTCGTCGTAATGCATGCAACCATTGACTGCAACTTACTTGAGAAGCGCCTTTAGCATCATCTGATTAGAATCGCGAATATGCGCCGGTTTCAAAGTCGCCTCAGAAGGGTCCTGTAGCTCGTTCCCCGTTGATAATATTGCCACCTAAAATATTTAATTTGTAAAAATGGGGAAACACTATGAATTAAAACAAAACTACTGCCTGCTTATTATTTGGTAATCTGTACTAAAAGACAGCCAACGTGCGATTTGAGGGCGCTAGAGTGCGTAAGTAGAGTATACCGGGATGTCCCAGTAATGGTGGATAATCTGGTACGTACGTGTTCGGGCGGGGGGGAGGTGGTCTCGGTTCCTTAAAAAAACTTCTATCGCAAATGGTTCGCACTCTACGCCATGTTTTATAAAATTCCGAAAATTCGTACTTCTGCTCACATTTATGGACATCACGTCAGCAGTTTAATGCCTAGATCGGATTTTTTTCTTCGAATGTGTTCCCTAATAATGATGTTTCTAAATTACCCTTAAAAGTTTTCAACTACTATAGGTAGTATTTTATAAGATGGCACTAAACATAAATCTTAATTTTTGACTTTATTTAACTGCTAACTTTGAGCACCTGTGGTGAAAAAAAAAACGTATTGGATCTGCGTGGCCAACCATTTAAAAAGTTTGCCTACATTATGATAATTCAAAACAGTAGCATACCATGTACCTTATGTCATTACTTCCTGAGCTATAGCCGTTAATGTGTAAAAGTAGGCATTTCAAAATTACAAAATTATTGGCAGATAGATTTTTTTAACATTGCATGTATTTATGAGGTAAGTACATCTGTCGCCCTTGAAAATTTTACTTTACTACGAAATGCTGAGGCGAGTGGATGAAGATCCTGGGTTTTTTAGAAAAATTTTGTGGAGCCACGAGTCAACGTGTAAAAGAGACGTGAAAGAACTTGCATAAACTGCACAGTTGACAGCGAACAAACCCATATTTGATGAGAGAAGATAGGTCGCAATACCAGTTTAAAATAAATTATTGGACAGGAATACTAAACGGAAGAATCATAGGCCCATATTAATTGCTGGCTATCCTGAATGAGGCCAATTATTTAGAATTTCTGCAAAATGAGCTGTTCCATTTATTAGAAAATGATGAGCCACTAGCCATCTGGCGAAGAATGTGGCTCCAAAATTATGGTTGTCCGGCACTTTACGCCGTCCAAGTAAGGAGTTACTTAAACGAAGCCCACCGTGACTATTGGATCAGCCGAATGGGGCCGTTATTGTGGTTACCAAGATCACCTGATCTTAACCCATTAGATTTTTTTATTGGGGCTGCCTGAAGGAGCAAGTTTATAAAAAATCAATTGAAACAATGTACGAAATTAGACTTCGCGTCACAGACGCAGCAAGGGTTATTTCAACCAAAAATATCAAAGACTTTTAGAAAGATCGTTTGTAAAAAGACATAGAGTCTGTATAAGAGCAGGGGGAGGCCACTTCGAGATGCTGTAAATGATTTTAAATAAAAAAAACTTGGATATAACTCATTTTCTTTTCATTAATGTATAACAAATGGCAAACACTACAAACTATACTTTCACAGCTGTACATAATATAACATGTCAAGTTTGACTGTTTGTCTCGCTCACACAGCTTAGAATTCGTCCAAACAAAGCGAGCAGGTAGTAAAGTAAAATTTTCAAGGGCGACAGATGTACTTACCTAATAAATACATACAATGTTAAAAAAAAACTATTTGCCAATAATTTTGTAATTTTGTAATGAAATGCCTACTTTTACGAGGGCTGCACTAAAAGTATCGGGAATGGAATATTGCCACTGTTCCTGTCATATTAATTTTTTTTTAATTGAAAAGTCCTTAGTTTTAAAAATCGAATACCATTTATTTATTTAAAAAAAGATTCTCGGTCTTGTCACAAGGTTTTGTCAAACTTGTTTAGTCGTTGAGAAAATGAAATTGACTCGAGAAAATTCTAGAGCGATGATTTATTATGACTTTCGAAGTGGTTTAACACAAAAACAGTGTGTTGACCGGATGATTTCTGCATTTGGTGATGAAGCCCCATCCAAAACCACAATTTATCGCTAGTTTGCTGAATTTCAACGTGGACGTGTCAAGCTCAGTGATGATCCCCGTCAAGGTCGTCCAAAAATTGCAGTCACCCAAGAAAACGTTGATGCTGTGCGTAAGCTGATTGAGGAAGATCGACATGTGACATACCGCGAAATTCAGGTAACTTTAAACATTGGCATGAGTCGAATACAAACAATCTTGCATGAACAATTAGGTGTAAAAAAGTTGTTATCCCGATGGATACCGCATTCGCTCTGTGAAGAGCAAAAAACGGCTCGCGTTACTTGGTGCGTCAGAACTCTCGAAAGATTCCAAGCAGGATCCTCAAATGCTGTATACAACATCGTATCAGGTGACGAATCCTGGATATACGCGTACGAACCCGAAACAAAAAACCAGTCACGAGTTTGGGTGTTCGAAAATGAGTTAAAGCCAACAAAAATTGTTCGTTCACGCAGTGTTGCGAAAAAAATGGTGGCCACGTTTGTCTCCAAAACCGGCCATGTTACGACTATTCCTCTTGAGGAACAAAGAACGGTTAATGCAGAATGGTATGCTAGCATTTGTTTGCCACAGGTCGTTTCTGAACTCCGTAAAGAGAACTGCAACCGCCGCATCATCCTCCATCACTACAATGCAAGTTCTCACACCGCACACAGAACAAAAGTTTTTAGAGCAAGAAAACATAGAACTATTAGACCATCCGCCGTACAGCCCCGACCTAAGCCCTAATGATTTCTATACTTTCCATAAAATAAAGAATAAATTGCGTGGACAGAGATTTTCATCACCTGAAGAAGCTGTGGACGCCTACAAAATGGCCATTTTGGAGACCCCAACTTCCGAATGGAATGATTGCTTCAATGATTGTATGGAAAAATGTGTCAAATTTCGCGGAGAATACTTCGAAAAGCAATAAATACATTTTTAAATAGTAATGTTGTGTCACTTCCTTGATTCCTGAAATTTTCAGTGCCGCCCTCGTACACATTAACGGCTATAGCTCAGTAAGTAATGACATTAAGTACATGTATGCTACTGTTTTAGAATCCTCATGATGTAGGCAAACTTTTTAAATGGTTGGCCACACAGTACCCATACCTTTTTTTATCACTACAGGTGCTCAAACTTAGCAGTTAAATAAAGTATAAAATTAAAACTTATGTTTAGTGCCGTCTTGTAAAATACTACCGATAGTAGTTGAAAACTTTTAAGGGTAATTTAGAAACATCATTATTATGGAACACATTAAAAGAAAAAAATCCGATCTAGGCATTAAACTGCGGACGTGATGTCCATAAATGTAGGCAGAAGTACGAAATTTCTGAATTTTATAAAATATGGCGTAGAGCGCGAACCGTTCGTGATAGAATTTTTTTTTTTAGGGAACCGAAGCCACCACCCCCCTCCCCCCGCCCATAAACGTACGTACCAGATTATCCACCATTACTGGTGGACCTGTTACCTGTATAATATATACATAATTCAGTTATCATCATCATCATCATTACAGCCTTTGATAAGTCCACTGCTGAACATAGGCCTCCCCAAGGAATGCTACAAAGCACGGTCCTGAACCACCTACATCCATCGACTTCCTGCATGTCTTACCAGATCATCACTCCATCTCGTGGGGGGCCGCCCTACACTTCGCCTACCGGTACGAGGCTGCCACTCAAGAACCTTTCTTCGCCATCGGTTGTCGGTTCTTCGAGCTATATGGCCCGCCCACTGCCACTTCAGCTTACTAATGCGTTGGACTATGTCGGTTACTCTGGTTCTATTGCGGATATACTCATTTCTAAGTTTATCACGCAGAGAAACCCCGAGGATAGCCCTCTCCATAGCTCGCTGAGCGACCTTGAGTTTCCTCATACGGCCAACAGTGAACGACCACGTCTCAGATCCGTAAGTCATCACTGGCAACACGCACTGGTTGTACAATTTCGTTTTAAGGTTTTGAGGTATGTCTGACGAGAAGATAGTTATGGTTACACCAGCACCACCCATAATACAGATAAAGCGTCCATCAGCATAAATACATAAACGCTGAGTATGTAGTAATTTAAGTAGAGTATGTAAGCATAGGATTAAGAATTGTAAAAGACAATGGACAGAATAAATTCACATCTGACTCTGTGAACACGTAGTTTTTATTTAGTTTTAAGTCGTAGTTTGTATTTAGTTTTAAAAAAGCTCTCGGCAGCTCTCGCAACTTGACTAGATGTGTCGTAGTTTCCCGAACGCTGCCCAGCCGAGTTGAATCCGTCGATTGACCTCTCGGTCGAAGTTGGACTTACCTAATCGGACTATTTGTCCCAGGTAAACATACTCGTCAACAACTTCGAGCTCAGTGCTCCCAACAACTACCGGCATAGGTGTGACATGGACATTAGACATGATCTTTGTTTTGTCCATGTTCATCCTAAGACCTATTCGTTGGGAGACACTATTGAGGTCATTGAGCATGGTGCTTAGGTCCTCCAGCGATTCTGCCATAAGGACTATATCGTCGGCAAATCGAAGGTGAGTGATGTACTCGCCATTGATGTTAATACCGTATCCTTTCCAGTTCAGAAGCTTGAGAACGTCTTCCAATGCAGCGATGAAGAGTTTCGGGGATACAACATCATCCTGTCTTACACCTCTCTGCAATTGGATAGGTTTCGTACTCTGGTTCTGTACTCGGATAGCCATCGTAGCTCTACTGTACAAACACTTCAGCACTTCGATATACCGACAGTCAACTTGGCACCGCTGAAGGGACTGCAGCACCGCCCAAATTTCGACGGAATCAAAGGCTTTCTCATAGTCCACATACGCCAGAAATAGTGGCAAATTGTACTCTTCCGACTTCTGTACAATTTGCCGAAGGTTATGTATGTGGTCTATGGTGCTAAAGCCCTTTCGGAAACCGGCTTGTTCGGGACATAATTCAGTGAAAATTTAAATTTTTTAATCAGTGGTTAAAAAAGATGTATAAGAATTTCATATTTTAAAATAAATATACTTTTGTATACATTAACTGTTTTGCTTTGTAAGTTTTAAAAATGTATTTAAGGTCATTTTCCACCTCAACGATCCTCTTTAAGTTTACGAACCTCTGATGCGGACTAAAATACTTTACATATAGTTCAGGAGTAATAACAAACAGCTGCAAATAAATAAATTACTATAATTAATATACTTCTGTACAATTTGCCGAAGGGTATGTATGTGGTCTATGGTGCTAAAGCCCTTTCGGAAACCGGCTTGTTCGGGACATAATTCAGTGAAAATTTAAATTTTTTAATAAGTGGTTAAAAAAGATGTATAAGAATTTCATATTTTAAAATAAATATACTTTTGTATACATTAACTGTTTTGCTTTGTAAGTTTTAAAAATGTATTTAAGGTCATTTTCCACCTCAACGATCCTCTTTAAGTTTACGAACCTCTGATGCGGACTAAAATACTTTACATATAGTTCAGGAGTAATAACAAACAGCTGCAAATAAATAAATTACAATAATTAATATACTTCTGTACAATTTGCCGAAGGGTATGTATGTGGTCTATGGTGCTAAAGCCCTTTCGGAAACCGGCTTGTTCGGGACATAATTCAGTGAAAATTTAAATTTTTTAATAAGTGGTTAAAAAAGATGTATAAGAATTTCATATTTTAAAATAAATATACTTTTGTATACATTAACTGTTTTGCTTTGTAAGTTTTAAAAATGTATTTAAGGTCATTTTCTACCTCAACGATCCTCTTTAAATTTACGAACCTCTGATGCGGACTAAAATACTTTACATATAGTTCAGGAGTAATAACAAACAGCTGCAAATAAATAAATTACAATAATTAATATTATTACGTACCGTAGGTTTTGTTCTGACTCTCACATGCTGATATCCCGCTCCAGCCAATATGCCGATAACCGCAGCATCTACGACCGCACCTGACCAAAAATATTGTTAATAATAAAAAAAACAACAGCTTAAGTAATCGCGATACTGTGAGAGTTGCGTTCGTAATATTTTTGCGTTTCCAGCACCTTATCCGTCAGTCAGCGAAATACGGTTTAGGCAGAGGAAGAGATGGAAGAATTGTCTACTCCTGAGGACGGGATGCTAGCAGGTGACAGACGCTGGTTGGGTGTGTCGCTCACTAGGAGGTGTGCGTGTGATCCCGCTGATATGAGGTGCAAGTAATGCCAGACATCCTTATGCTTGTGTTTATGTTAAGTATTTCCATGTGGAGAAATAGAGATAGGTTTTTTTTTTCAATATATTCTATATTGATACATAATAATCTATCTTATTACATAATATATAGTCGTTTTAAGTTTAATTTACTCCCGGTTCGGAATATACCTTTGTCCTGTGAAGAACTAGCAAGAAACCCAGCGGGAAGAATAAGTTACTATACGAGTTTTCTCACTTATTAGTCTAGATTCACTGTATTGAATTAGTTAATGATGGTATTGCTGTGCTGTTGATTAATAAGAGGATAACTAAAATGAATACAAAAATGAATGAAAGAAAACATCGTGAGGAAACCTGCGTGTCTGAGAAATAAGAAAAAAAGTATTTCGAACACATGTGAATTTCGCTAACACGCACTGGGGCAACACGGCAAGCACTTCCTTGCCCTAAAACCTTCTCCTTTGCCCAGCAGTGGGACGTATTATAGGCTGTAACTTTAACTTAACTAAAATGAATACTGATTAAGTAAAAGGATAATTCTCACTACTAACCTTCACCAACGAGTTCAGCACCTAAAGCTACATCAAAACCGATCGGGCGCACATCTTGCTGCGCTTTTGGTGCTTTAATGATTTCTACTTCTAACTCAGTTTTATTATCCGGCGAAGCGGAAATGAGCTTTGTATCCTCAACCTAAAAAAATATTCCTCTAGATCCTAGTTCGGTTAGTTATAATGTTTATGTCGTCAAATAATCATTTTGTCTTTCCCCTCATCAGGCGGACATCTAAGCTATCATTCCCTGAACTTATCCTCCCGTGCTGATGTCATTAAAATTGTCAGACCAAAGATCGATGATGAATTATAATTGTATCTATGTTGTTGTAATCCAATGAAGTGTCGCCATCAGAAAATCCTATTCATCAATCAAATGAAGTATGGCAAAAAAATAACAATTTTTTAGCAGACATGTAGTTGGAGAAATAGTGTATTTCGAAAATTTTCAGACCTGAGATAACCAGAACAATGAGGAGATGAAGTATATTAGACACATGACATCTTCTATTAAAATCACCTGTAACTTGGTATGAGTGTTGTGGTAACACATAATAGGAAACTTTACAAAAGTGGTGTGGGCAACACACTCTCTCTCTCTCTCTCTCTCTCTGGAAAAATTAAGCGAATGTAAGTGTGTACTAATAAAATTCGTGAATTAATTAATTTCGCGTTTCAATGAACATATCAAATTATTATTATAACCTAATAATACAAATAACTAGAAAAATCAAATAGAACAAGTGTAAAATAAGGCATATGCGTTTTGTGTACCCTCATTGCAAGAGTAGCTCATAGCTATCAGAACTGGTTATAGATTCATGAAGTTGGAAATAACTTGTTCATCACCTGTACTACGCAATCGGCACCGGGAGGCAGTGGAGCTCCGGTATTGATACGGACGCATTCACCAGGTTCTAGTGGCGCTTCGGATGTTTCGCCTGCCCTCACTACGGTACGAACGCGTCTCACACCAGCTCCGTCAGAACTTAGACATGCGTAACCTATAGAATTTAAGTAAGATTGCAGAATTAATTTCTCATAATTTGTAGAGGCATTAACGCTACTGCCTACCATATTTCAAAACCGAATAAGGAAAAGTACCTTCGTTTAACATTTACAGGAGAGCGAAGAAATATAAACGAATGTGAGATATGTAGATAGATAGTAAATAGGCTTTTTTACGCTAAAGGTCATACAGAGACACGACAATGCTTGAAGAGGCTAGTGGTTTCGCACCGCGCAGCGCGTTGCCGCGAGACGCATGGCAAAGTTGCTGGCAGCGCACCGCTCTCGCACGCTGCGCTACCGACGAAGAAGACGAAGAACTGCGTCGTGATGCATTGCGCTACGCCAGGCATCAGGCAGAGACATCTCAAGGCGCAGTACGGCATAGCGCGACGCCGCAGAACATTTTCGAATTATCTCAATAAAATGTGTATCTTTTTCTACAGTAGGTAAGTAAATGAAGTTCTATTTTGTATCAAGATCTTAAAAATTGCACGCCGTGTCGCGTCTCAGTGTGAACTGATCCTTAGTGCGACTTACCATCTAGAGCTTCATCACCAATTACCACCAGGTGGCATTGTGGTCAAGCACTGTGTTATAATAAAAAAAAAGTATGATTTTGAATAAAAACATTTTTAATGTAACATACTGGGTTTCGACATGGGACTGCGGAAACATCCAGCAGTCTGTGCCCGGATAAATAAAATGTCTTTATTAATTTCGACTTAACAACGTAAAAAGCAAATTAATGCATTTGGCATATTTTGCTGCTTACTTCATTTAAAATGCTAGTTACTATCATACGCTTTCTGCACACGAAGAATTTAAGTGTAACTTTCCATTGATTACACAGCAGCAACTGTTGCGATAATTCGATAATGGTATCGGGAGTTCTGCCGCGATGTGCGTTCGTGAAATTTGGCGGCTGGGATTAATCCGAACAATTCCTCAGAGCACTCCCCATGGTAGATGCGAAAGAAAATGCAAAGAGATGCAACATCTCTTCGCAGTGCCAATGAATCGAGCCGATCGGAAAGGGCTCGGTCGTCGACGATTCGAGCCGCTCTGCGCTGGATGCGGTCAAGTGGAAGGAGCTGGCACTGGGGAGCCCCTGCCCAGAGATGGGAACAGTATTCCATGTGAGGCCGAACCTGCGCCTTGTAAAGTTGCAGGCGGTGTGCCGGCATGAAATACTGTCCCGCTCTGCTGAGCACGCCAAGCTTTTTAGAGGCCAATTTGGCCTTCTCTTCCAAGTGACCACGAAACTGCACGTCACTCGATATGTCGACTCCGAGGATACCGATACTGGCTGAGGCAAGAAGGGGAGTGCCTTGAAACTGAGGAGATACGACAAAGGGGTTCTTTTTAGCGGTAAACGCGCAAACTTGTGTCTTCTGAGGATTAAACTGGACTAGATTTAGTCGCCCCCAATCCGAGACTTTGTCCAGCAAAGACTCGACTTCAGACACAAGTTTGTTCCGGTACTCGGCGACGTTTTCCCGAGAAATATTGGCCCGGCCGGTGTATAGAGCATCACCAGTGCTGTCATCCGCATAGCAATGAATGTTACCAGTTAGCAACATATCATTGATATGCAGAAGAAACAGCGTTGGTGATAGCACACAGCCTTGTGGAACACCAGCGTTAATAGGCTTGTAGTCAGAACATGCACCGTCTACAACGACCTTGATGCTCCGATCTGCAAGAAAGCTGGTGATCCAATTGCACAATTTCTCGGGAAGCCCATAGGAAGGCAGCTTCGAAAGAAGCGCTTTGTGCCAAACCCGATCAAAGGCCTTCGCAATGTCCAGACTAACGGCCAACGCCTCCCCCTTGGACTCTACTGCCTTCGCCCATCTATGGGTCAGGTAGACCAGAAGATCACCAGCTGATCGACCCCGACGAAAACCGTATTGGCGGTCACTAATCAGCTGGTGATCCTCAAGGTACCGGATGAGCTGGCAGTTAATAATGGATTCCATTATTTTGGAGAACAAGGAGGTGATCGCGATAGGCCTATAGTTGGACGGGTCTGAGCGGTCGCCTTTTTTAGGGATCGGGTGGACAAAAGCTGTCTTCCATGAATTCGGGACTACGCCTTGGGAGTAGGAGTACCGGAAAAGACGCGTTAGGACCGGTGCCAACTCCGGAGCACACGTCCTCAGCACAATTGGGGGGATTCCGTCAGGCCCACTCGACTTCTGGATGTCCAGGGAGAGAAGTGCTTTGCGAACTGAGCGCTGTGAGAATAGCACATCCGGCATGGAGCACTCACACCGCGGGATGGTCGGCGGTATTTTCCCCCCGTCATCAAGAGTCGAGTTGGACGCAAAAAGGGAGCCTAAAAGGTCGGCTTTGTCTTTTGCGTCTTGGGCCAGTGAGTCGTCCTCCCTGTGCAGAGATGGTAGTGATGGCTTACAGAAATTCCCTTGGACAGCCTTGGCGAGAGACCAGAATGCACGGGTTCCCGAAGGAAGGCGAACTAGTTTCTCGCCAATTCTGCCTATGTGCTCTGACTTTGCCTTGGCAATAACTCTTTTGAAGGACCTGGAGGCGAAGTTATACTTCTTTTTAAGTGTGCTGGTGTTTACATCCCGAGTCACCGAAGCCGCAGCCCAGGCTTGATAACACTCCTGCTTACTGCGCAATGCAGTCTTACAGGAGCGACCAAACCAAGGCTGAGATCTGCCTCCGATGGGTACCACAGATGATGGAATAAATAGTTCCATTCCCTGTAGCACCACCTATTTTCAAACATGAAGGTCATAGGTACTAAATACTTTTTGCCGAATATACCGAGACATTAACGTTCGTTCATTAAAATTCGGAATCATTTTTTACATAATCTATACATATAATAAAACTGTAAATAGCAGATGTCTGTACATTTTTTATTTTTGTAATAAAAGTGATTGAGGGGTACTAAAAATAAGTAATTAAATACATTTCCACCATTTTTAGAATTTTCTGTCTGTCTGTCTGTCTGTCTGTCTGTCTGTCTGTCTGTCTGTTTGTTTGTTAACGTATCACGTATAAAGTACTAATTTATATCATAAGAATTGTTAAGGAAATTATAAAGTGTATCTTCGGGTTACATTTAGTCTTTATTTCATTAAAATCAGTTCATTCCATCAAAAGTTATGATAAATATTCTGAAGTATGGGTAGGGAAGTATAGGTACGAATTTGCTCAACGGTGGCTTTGTTTGAGTCATCAAGTGCATTTTAAACTAATATCATATCATAAATCATAGTTAAATTATGTAAAATAATGATATAATTATGTATATCTAAAACGCAGTAAACAAAAGTAATAAAGAACGTATTAAATATATTATACAAAAATATATTAACCTCATTAACTAAATCTGAAGCACAATAGTTAACCCATTTCTTCGATAGATGGTGGTGTTGTGAAAATGTATTTTTTATTTAATCTTTGTTTTATTAAAATTGGTTCATTCTATCGAAAGTAATGATTATTATTTTGAAATGTAGGTTCGAATTTGTTCAATGGCGCCATAAAATCTCAGAAATAGTAATAAAAAGATTTCTGTGTAAAAAAAACGTTCCATAATAATTAATATATTTATACTTAAAACACAAAAAGAGATAGGATGTTTTCTCACACAAAGGACGTAATAGATGGAGTTGTACAAATTACAAACTTTTCTGAATTGCTGTGTTGAGATTTTTCGCCGATGAATCGTATTAGACTTACTGAAGAAATTTGTATCCATCGAAGCCATACAACGGAACCCGACCAAAGATAAAAATTTTGGAACGAAATGTCGTGATATTGTATTTATAATATACGCAAAATCAGAACTGCCATTTTAGCGCTTTGGGAACTAGATTTAGCACTTTTTTGGAATGTATAGCGCGCATTTCGAAATTTTAGCACCTAGCGCTTAATCCAGCGCGTTTTGGTGTATTTAGCACACATTTCAATACTTTAGCGACTAGCGGGTTATTAACTCTTTTATAGCAGCACTGTTAGTCCACATTACCGATAATAATAATAATGACCTTTATTATTTTTTCCCACAAATAGTACATTGCAGTTTATCTTTTTCAAACATATTTTTTCCACAAAACAAAGAGCATGGGAGACGAGTCCAAACTAGGATACCCTGTGCTATGGATCTCCTGGCTTCCCCTTTAGGATGATCAACTTGATTTTTTTACCGACGACTATAAGCGGGGAAATCCCCTTTATTAAAGTTTTCGTTCATGGTTTTGGCAACGCATTTATTTTGCTTTATTCAGTTTTAGTCAGTTGCTTAGAGCACAGCTAAGTTAAAAGTTACTTAGAAGTTATAACACAAAGAAACTGTGTAGCAACCGCAATCAGATGCTGACATCTGAAACTAAGTTGCGAAATACATTGCACTTTAAAACAATTAATGACATTTTTATTGTTCGTACAGTAGTTACAGTAGTTAGCTGTTGACAGCAATTGCTATAATAATAAGTCGATGTCCTGCGAAGTATTGATACATCAAAAAAATATTGCCAGAAAAAGAACTTAATGTTGTTTTCTTTATTATGATTATATAAACACAAACTTTGTTTGTAGTTAATTTAGCGCGAAATCTAGGGCTTTTTTAAAGCGCTGTTTTCATGAAATCTAGCGCTTTTTGTGTTGTCCTAGATCTGAATGAGTTTTTTTTTATCTGGCAGCACTGCCCAAAAACCCTCTATTAAGAAGTAACTTTCCTTTCAGTTTTAAGCGCGTTCAGTTCCCAGTTACAGTGAGTGTGTGTTATGCGATGACCGTAAGTAAAGCGCAATGTCAAACTTTACGCGTTGTAGGAATGTACCTCAGTACTGACTGGTTTGCACATGGCCAACTCTATGTTGCTTTTTCCCGCGTTAGTAGCCCCCGTAACCTTTTTGTGTATACCCCGGCTAAGCCTACTTCTAACGTCGTTTACACAGAAGCTCTATCATAAACGACTTAGAACTTTGATGATAATGATTTATTTAGTTACCAC